GACAGACAGACAGACATACGTACATATATACACATGTGTGTGTAATGTGTGCGTACGTACATAATTATTCCATATATACATATATATGGAAGGAGAAAAAAATCTGTGTATATATATATATATAGAGAAGCGCAGAGATGGATAGGCAAACAGAGGCATGCATGCAACGGTGTTCGAGTATATTTAATAAGAGCAAATGTACATGATACTGGCATAAGTTTACATGTGTGTAGAAATATCTTGTGTGTATCAGGGCACGTCACCTACACATATCATCACATGTCTACGATGTACTACGCTTTTGCAGTGTTGGAGGGACCACAGCCGAGTCACCTACAACAGCGTAGGCCACAGCCACTGGCATGAGACCAGGTCGCTGTGCCCTAGATCTATTGAATGTCCTTGTGAAAGCTGTTCTAGATGCAAGGACCGCAAGGAGCTGCAGAATTTCATGTGTTCCCATTTGTGTAATGGCTCTCGCCGGCTAATGAAAGCCCTCGTTGTGTCCTGGATCCGCTCCTGTGAGCTTGAGGCTGCCATGTCTGAAGCTGAGCCGTGAGTAAAGCCCCCAGATTCCTCATTGTCATCCAACTCCAAAGTGGTCAGCGCAAGAATTCAGGCGGATGTTTCTGGCGCGGTCACCATCTATACACGCGTGGTGCGAAGGACTCAGACCTTCAGCCCACTGCGATGTAGGACTAAGACTTAGCAAAGGAAACTCATGCCCAGATTGAGCTGCGCTGTTGGCCTCGCAATGGAGATGGGAAGTGCGAAAAGACAGAGAGGGTGTGCATGTTGCAGAAGGAACAGCTTCCACGGCCTCTCAGAAGGAACGCGTCTTCCGCCACCTTCTGATGTACATGCAGAGCCTTGGCGTCCAAGACAACACTAGGTGGAGATTCGAGCTTCTGGAAGCACACCAAGAAACAGCAGGGACCGTTGACTGCCGCTGGACGTGACAGATGAGAAGTGAGGTCGTCGCGGTCTGAGAAGAGCTGTCCGATTAGAGGTGTTGGCGTCATGTCTCTGTGCGCATTGTATGAGAATGGAAGGTGCCTACTTCGACCGGTGTCAGCCGGTGGCCTTGCCCGGAGTTTTCGCAGGAGTGCATTGCAGAGAGAGAGGGCGATGGAGCGACGGAGAGAATGAATGACATGGAAGCCTCGAGATGCACAGTTTCAGGATCACCCAGGCCTTTACTGACTACTGTAGGTGAGAGAACTTGACGAGTATGGCGGCAAGCAGCACGGCATCAAAACTCCTCAAACGCAACACGTAGTCGACGATCATTGATTCCCTGCAGCCGGGAAGCAGCTTGAAGTGGTAGTAGATGGCTGGGAAAACCTGCCAAGAAGGGTAGTCGTGAAAAAGGCCTCCGAAACGCACTTCGAGGCTCTGAGGCTCCAGCAAGTTGGTCGAGACACAACATCAATAAGGCACTGTCGGCCTTGGAGAATACATCTCGCTGCTTGCTGCAGAGTGCAGATCATGTTCCCCGCTATTTCCAGTTAACCAGGCTGGCTTTCATGGAGGCGCAAGTGGTGGCTGCGAGCGGGCGGATGGTTCGAAATTCCGGCCGGCGACAGAAAATCGTGTTTCATGCCAGGGTATCCGCCGATCCTTCCAGTCTACGGGTAGGGACGATTCCTGCTAGTACAATTGGCCTTCCTGAGACGACAGCCGTCTGAAATACAGACGTCGTGCTTTCTGAGTGCAGCGCCCAATGTTGCTGCATCACCTGCAGGCAAGCAACGCCTCGAACGCTTCAGGCTTGCGCAGACGAGCGGGGCAGTAAGGAGGAGACTTTTATCCATGTCCTGATCTCGGTGGCGATCAAGAGCACCTGATCTCACGTGCTCTGAAAAACATGAAGGAGACTGCTGCTGGCAGGAATTACCAAGGTCCCCCGCAATCACCGAGAATCCGTAGGCCCGTCTGACCTCAAGCTTTACGTGCTGCAGACTACAGAGGGGCCGAATGAGTTGCTTCAAGCAGCATCAAGCAGCGCTGGAAACCGGCATCTCTGTATGTAAGTACACGTGCCATGCTATGTTGATGCCCACACATATATGGATCTAACGCAATTCAACGCGGCGTAATGATGTAATGTCCTGACATGCTCATGCATGCATGTGATACGTGTCTCTGTGTATGTGTGCATGTAGTATGTGTCCAAGTGTGAATGCGTTTGTACAGAAATTGTGTATGCATATACTACACGTAACGTGTGTAGGTAGGTACGTATGCATGGATGCAGGCATGCATGAACTGGCATCTGTGTATGTAGGATCTTCTGTATGTATACATGTACGCAGCTGTACGCACGTACATGGTATGTCATCACTGCGACTTGCGAAAGCATCCAAACGCGCTGGCGATGCTTCTTGCTTACTTCTGCAATGTTCAGCGTGTTCGCCGACGGCAATCTCGGTCTGCCAACACCTACCTTCACATATTCTGCGATCACATATTCAAGAGCCGCAGCCATGCTTTAAACTCGGGAAGGTAGAGCGAAAGAGGTCCGTGATGTGGCTCCTTGTGGATTCGCGGGTGACCGGAGGACTTGCCCCCACAAAAAAAACACGGAAACTGCTGCAATAAAATCCAATAGAAACGGAGGAGGCTTGTGCTTTCTGCTACTGTAGCACGACGATGTATGCATGCCTCAGAATTGCATATAGTGTTTGTAGAGTGTCCAATCAGAGCAATGGTTCCGGATCCGCTTCCCACATCTGAGGGGCGGGCTTTGGCAACCCAGCCTGGCAAAAAACTCCAAGCACAGAGGTGAAGACACGGCTTCTGATTGGGGCTTAGCACTTTTCCCTTATATAGCGGCTTGTCCCATTACCGGCTCTCTTCGGTTCCTGGAGCTCCCAGGCTGTTGGCGATGAAGAGGCCCTCGTTCAAGGGCGTCAGAAGGACCACCTGGGCGAAAGGAAGCCACTGCGAACCGATCTCTCTTCTCAGGTTTCCTCCAGAAATCCAGTCGAGCTTTGCACCACGAGCGGCAAAGTCCACTTGTGCTGCTGGTTCAGTGCAAAGCACAGCATCACCTCAGCGTACGTTCCTGCAGCACGCCAACCATAGTGTCGTCTTAGTGCTCCCCAAGGCTGGAGCCGTGAAGGTGTACGGCACGTGGTGTGCAATGAGCTCGCCAGACGTCCAGCCTCACTGTTGGAATACACCAGATCAGGCCAAAGAACAGTGGGGTCAATTGAGGCAGGAGCCGGGTGACATCGCACACCAGCCAGGGCCCAAGGCGATCGCTACCTCCGACCAGATACAAGCTTCTATCCTGCTTCTCCCTTTCAATCGCGCGAGAGGCCTCAAGCACATAAATGCTGCATAAGTGAAACTGAGCAGCGCTGACACCTTGAGTGGGGCTTCTCGGAGACTCGATCTCGCAGCTTGAACGGAGAAGCGCCCAGGGTTCCGGCGTGGTAAAATCTCGGGGCCGTAGTGGTCATTCGCCAGGAGGGCGACCTTGTCACGGTCAGGCCCTCTGGAGAAGGAATCAATTGAAATTCCTCGCACTCTCTGACCCACGTCTGGGTCGCCGCACGCCCTCAACAAAAACAGCAAGGTAGGCCAAGAGGATGCACCAGGAGATCCTGAGAGGGACAAAAAAGGGCTCCCCCTCTCTTCCCCTGCCTGGGCGCTGTTCAGCCCCGGGCCAAGTGTGGGAGGGCGGCTGGAGCTCAATCCTGCCTTGGCTTGGCCCCACTTCAAGAAGGGAGCAGCAGAAGGCGGTCCCTGGTGAGTGCCGGGCCTTGCTTTCCCGTGGAGATCTTTTGTGGAGAACCCAGGCTCACTTCGGAAGCCTCGCGCCAAACACGCTAAGATGCACAGATCCTTTTGCGGTGGGAGGCTTCAGGGCACTGGCCATCGCCGGGGAGCAGCCGCTAGCCGGAAAACATGGGGGCTCTTTCAAAGGACGTCGGTACTCAAGTCGGGACTCTTCTCCGGGTTTAACTCTGCACTGGGTCCGGGGAGTGTGTGCTTCGGTCTTGCTGAGTCGCTGACAGTCTGACAGCCAGTTCTTGCTGTTTTGAGCCCACTTGGGGCCAGTGGGGGCCGGGGCTTGGGCCTCTTGAGCAAAGACACAGCCACAGCATGGGAAGCTTGCAACGCCCCCCCCCCCCCCCCCCCAATGTTCCCCCCGTCCCCGTCAGGTGGCACAGTACCATGGTACGAGGTGGGACTTAAAGAGAGTGGCTGAACCAGCCAATCTTCAAGCTTCAAGGCGGTTCAGAGCTGTCCTACCTCCGCGGCAACGGACCAGCTTCTCCCAAGATATGAACCAGCGGGTCTAGGGTTGCTAAGAGGCTTCGAGGGTTCTCGGGGCTTTGCATGTCTTCATTTTCAATATGATAATGATGCTGCATAGCACGCTCGGTGCATTCTGCCCTCGTTTCACGAAGGGGCCTGCCCTGCATCGGGTCCGCACCCATCTTCAGGATGTCCTTCTCCCTTTGAGGGACTCCAGGTGAAACTTTCTTGGGGTTACTTGGAGCTCGGGGCTCAAGGTGTACACGGGTTTAGGTATACCTAGGGATACTTCTAGGCCACGTTACTCTATACTACTATACGATTCTACTAGGCTTTAGGATTCAGGGGGTGCAGTTGGAGCTCACCCCACGTGCAATGGCCCTGCGCCGATCACCAGACGGCAGGGACGGGGCACCTGAGAAAGCCGCGGCTCTTAGGACTTGACCTTGGGTTGCTTCCGAGTTTTGCAAGGCCCAAGGAAGCCCAGCTTTCCCTCTGAGCAGCGGTAGCGCAGGGTCTTGAGGCTTTGGTAGAGCATGCCTAACCCGCCTCACCCTAACCCCCTTATATAAGTTTGCATAGTAAAAAATATAATAAAAATAATAGGGAACCCAAAATTAAGTTTGCATAATAGCAATAATTATATGGATAATAATAGGGAACCCAAACGACGAGGTGTCTAGCAGAGTGCCGGGCTCTGAGCAGCTCTTCGTAGAGCGCCTGGCCGTTGCCTCGCATCCCGCCCTCGGGCTTCTGCGAGTCGATCTGGCGCCAGAGAGAGACCATTTAAGGGGCTTCAGCTGGGAGTTTAGGGTCTTACTTCCTTGCTCATCTACGGTCTTCATACTTCTTATTACTATCTCAGAGAGAACAAGAAGGAAATTAGAAGGAACTGAACCGAAAAACATAAAGAGAGAGTGGCCAAAGAGAGTCGAGGAGAAGACCCCTGAGCAGAGACGAGCAGAGGAGCTGAATTCTGATAGCTTTCATGCAATTTCAAAAGGCTCGAGGACCCGGGTGCGCCCTTTTATTGCAGTCGTGGCGAAACACGGATAGTAGTTTCGAGCCTCCACGAGCAGATCGCCGGCTTTCACCTGCGGGATGGAGTTCAGTTCAGCTCGCGAGCTGTCATGTGGGAGTTTCCGAAAATTAGGGGGGTACCTTATTGGGGGTCCTTATAATAGGGATCCTACTATTTAGGGTACTATAATGTACTATATTAGGGTCCCCTACGTTCGGAAACCCCATATGGAGCTTTCAGGGCACCTGCTTGTCGGGATGGACTTTGTTCCAATCGGAGAGCGCTCCGGTGCTGTGGATCGCCGCGATCCGCAGGCCGTTGTGTTCCTTGAACCTGCAAGCACAAGAAAGCACACTTTAAGCGGCTCTTTTTAAAAGAGGAGCTTTCGAACGTATACCGTCGGGGTCCGTGCGTGAAGGCACCGAGCCGCCACTTGCCAGAACCACCGGAAAGCATCACCTCGAGATCGAGACGAGGGCCCCTTCAAGAGGGCGCCCCCTTCCATGGCTTGTGTCCAGGGTTGTTCAATCCGTTGTGTAAGGCTTGTACTTCACCAAAAACTCGAGCTCTATTTCTATATGTATATATATATATATTTTATATATATATATATATTATATATATATATATATAACTACCCGATGTTACTACGACCACGTCTTCCCAAAGGGGGGCAGCTCTCTTTCGAGTCCCCGGCATCGAACTCCTCTCCCAACGTCCTTCCCGTATCCGCCATGGCAGAAGATTCGGATGTCTTCAAAGTTGTGATGACAACAGACTTGCCCAAGTGAAACGGCTCTTGTTGTTACGAGAAATGTGTGCGAACTAATTGTCATTTCTTTATCATGACCCATCGCTCCAGCTGGACAGCGGCCTTGGACTAGGACTAGCCGTGTTGGACACCACAACGAGCCAAAATATACAGCACGGAGAAGCGCATTCCATGGCGGATGCGCTTTCCACATCAACGTTGGGACTTTTCATCTTGACTTTTTCTGCACATCCACCGTAAATTCGTAGATGGTGTGTCAAATGGTGGGAGGACGGTGCATGAAGTTTTCAGGAGACAGAGAAACAAAGAGAAAGAGAGAGAGAGAGAGCTTGAAAGAGAGAGCCAGAGACAGAATGGGACCTACAGATTACATCCTAAAGCGCGCGCGGGCGGCGATACAATCGTGCCCAGGCTGCCTGTGTTTCGGCGAGTTCAGGGCTGAGAGCGCCACAAGCACAAAGGCGTGCAAACGACGGCAATGTGGTGCTGCTGCACATCTTCTATAATTATAATTATATACATACAGGACGTAGGTTGTCTCCTGCTGTGCTCTCCGCAGCGCGCAGACTTTGAGGCTTGGCTGCCTGTTGCACATTTTGCGGGCAGTGCAGGTCAGTCATGTTGTTTTCACGTGTTTGAAACCCTTTTGAGTGGCACGAGCAACATGGATTCACGTGTCAACCAAAGCCTTGCCGTTGAAGAAACACGAGACTTGACACCACCCTTTCGGACCGGCAGTTGATGTGACACGGCTCCCAACTCTTGCTAAACATCACACACACACACACACACCCCATTCTCAGGCAGGTTGGCAAAGCACCGCATAGCAGGAGCACTGCAATGGCTGCAGCTAGAGCAAAATCAAGGGAGGAGGGTGAAGCACCACGAATATGACCTTCGGCGCATACCAGCATGGCGGCGTGGTCGGTGTCACAAGGGCGACCCGTGAGAACCCGGTTTTGGCAGCCAAGGTGTCCGCGTTGGTCGCGGAAAGGCTTCCAGATGAAGTTTGTTCTTCGGTGACGGTTGTGAACAATGTGGTGATGCCGATTCACAAGGATGTCTACAACGACAAGACCACAAGGAATCTGGTGATACCGCTTGATGTCACCGAGGATGCAGGAAGAGGCAGAAGGTCCAGAACAAATGGCTGGAGATTCAGTATAAACCAACAACTGGCAGATGCCCTCACGAAGATATTGGCATCCCCAAGATTGACTATGCTGATGGAGTTCTGGGGACTTTTCCAACCAGGCCGGAGAGAGGATCAGCGAGCTCATCTGCGGCAGGTTCGAGCCCCAGCAGAGCCGCAGCAACAACAGCAGGAAGAGCAGCAACAGCAAGCACCCACAACAAGCACTACCACAGCTTCAACAGGGGTGGGGAACCTGGGTTGCTGTTTGGGTATGTTGGAAGCTTTACAAAGTGCAATGGGAGTTAATAGTCAAGAGAATAACCCGGAAGCCCATGCACCTTTGGCTGTGGACTCCTCGCTAGAACTGTACGGAATTGTCCTTATGAACTTATGATGGTTATCTGCACAGTTGCTCGTTGGGAAGCTGGAAGAGGATGCCTTCGAAGAAGCGGGGAAGTGGCAAGGCTGAGGGTCCTCCATGGTTGGATAGGATGAGGTGCACCGGCACGAAGTGTGATCTTTTGGGAGGCTCTGCGTTAAGCGCACATCAGCTCTTAGCCTGTTCCCGTTTCCCGCCCCCCAAGAGCACCCAACTTGTACAGCTGCATTCTTTCGGACTGCAAAACACAGGCATGACTGCACTAGCTCGCAGCACGCACAGGGGTTCTTCAAGGCGCTCCTTCACTCAGGCTGTTCATCTACTCACAACTCTTCAGTTCAAATCGTGAGATGTCGCACACGAACTGCTCACGATGCACATGACATTGTCGTCATTGTTGCTCTTGCTGCGTTCACAAGCAAATCTTTCTTCCTTCACTCTCTTTGCCATGCAGTCACCACGAATCGGTCTCCTTTGGAGGCTCCAGGATAGCAGTTTTGCCCAGGCTTCTTCGGAAGCTGGCGCGCCCCTGCGCTCTTGGTCGAACTAGTCGAATTCCATTTGTGACACGAGAGGAAGGCGCTAAGGGAAAATTGGAGAACAAGCCCTCCTTTTACGAAGGCTGAACCAGGAATTGTCAATGATCCATCATTTCTCGCTCTCCCCCAGACAGCTGTGATGCGCATAATTGCTGAAAGTGTGACACACGGTCTCAATGCAATTACAGGGAGAGGTGGCATTGGTAAGGATTGCAACTTGCACGGAGGACTCACCCCGATTCGGGAGCCTGTGCAGCAAGGAAGCCGAAGCCGTGGCAACTGCACGCGTGGCACATGCAAGGCACCTTTCAAAAGCCGGCTCGATGCCCTCTTCTCAGTTCAAGCAGAGTCTTCGCTTTCCTTGGAGCTGCAGGCCGTTTACATCTGATGCCTCAAAAGCATCTACCGGAATGCCGAAGCGATCAAACACAAAGATCGTGCTTTTCTTCTCTGCCCGTCGTGAAGCCTGATGACGGAAGCAGCCGTGCCCCCGAGCTGCCTGTTTCAGCAACGTCGGTCTAACCAGGGTGCGCTTCCTGCACTCTACATGTAACAACACTTTCGGAGTTATCATGCAAACTGCTATGATCTGATGTGTCTTGTCGATGCCCACAAAGGTCTTTCACAGCACATCTGGTTGCACATCTACTGCCGCTTGCGTCGGGCTCCTTAATGTATGAAGGGTTTTTTTCCCATGTCAAGCGCCGCTTTAAGCGGCCTCAACGCTTAATCGAAGTGATTTTCAAAATGAGGCAGACGCTCCCTTTAAAAGGGGTCACCTGGCAAATCTAAGGCGCATTACACCACGAGCCAGCCTGCAAAGCTGCTTGGGTACCTAGCATCGGTGGGCTGCCCTTGCTCAAAAATGGCCTTCGCTTCCTCCATGCCTGAGACAGCGGATTAAAACTTGCTCCAAGGACTCATGCTTAAGCTGCAGGCTTAAGGGAGGCGTTTAGGGTAGAAGGTAGACAGGCGCTCCGGCTAAAGTCATGCAAGCGGCTCTGCTGGAGCTCGTTGAACCTCCAGATCATGTAAACACCCGGCTCCTCAGGAGCCTTAAGGGAGAAAGCCGTGTCGAAGGTGTCGC